AGTGCTGATTGTTATTGGAGTTGTGTATTGGAGCTTCACAGGATACTCCAAATTTAATTTGATCTAGCGATTGATTTAGTTGGCTTCAAAGCCAGGTTTTCCTTTCCAAAATTGAACTAGTGCATGACTTTGCAAGTTCATTTGGGTTTACTGCTTGACACAATTGTAGGAGACTTTACAGCATTTATAGTATGTTTTGCCCTGCTGATCTCTTTTCACTCACATGTACAGACACTCATACAGACAGAACTATTAAAACAAACACTCTTGCTGCTCCCTCCCCCCCCATTTTCCCTAAGATATATTTCTCACTAAAAACTACTGATTCAAAAGACTCATACAGTTTAAATCCATATTATATGAAAAACATCACTTTGATCTTCAATATATCAATTAGAAAGCTCTTAGAGCATTTATTATCATTAGCTATGCTATACCTTTTCTGAAAGATGAGAACAGCACCATCTCATTTCGCAGGTTACTTGTTTTACTAAGTGATGTAAAAAACCCAAACAAGTATTAGGATATGACAAGATCTTAGGCAATTTGGATGTTCCTCAGCTGTGGGACATTTACCTGCTAATTGCCTACCTTGTCTATAAAAACCATGAGATCTTTGGGATACAGCTATATTACTATGACTGACTCTCAATCAGGGCCTCTGAACACCAATAGAATTCAAATGAATTATATTAATAAAAATCAGATAAAGTATCCCATAGGAATTCTAGCAGATCCAGAATGACAACAGGTTCTATAACGCATTTTTTTTTCTGCCGTAGCTACATAGCTAAGCTTACCCTAACATTCATATAGCTTTACTCCAACTCTTTTTTATACTTTTTTTTTTAATTACAAAATCAGTATATTCATTTTTAGACTCCATATTCCCTTTCAAGGGCTATTTGCTCTTATTCAGATTAAGGCACTTTGAACACACCTATTGTGGTACAACAACAAATGCTTCTGTTCCCTTGATTTTCCTAGACACACATAGCTTTCACATTTGCAGCTGTTAAGTAGCAACACTCACAGATAATGTGCTCACAATCACAGCTTACTGTGCTTTTAACAGGACACTAAATGCAAGCCCGTTATTCTTTGTTAATCAGTAGATGTCTGTTGGTTGACAGCCACTACATTTTTTTCCCCCCCTTAATTTTTTTGTGTGCAATTTCTGACAACCCCCCTCTCCAAATCAAGAGACTAAAAAGGCAACAGCAGTTCAGATCCTCAACATGGTATATGCACACCTGCAAAGGTTGCATATTTGAGAATTTGCCCTTTGTCCTGTAAACAAGAACACCAGAACATTACAGCAGCTCTACTTCCATCTGCTACAGGTTGGCTGGCAAGTTCGTGAATCAACCATCTAGTTGCATAGCAAAGCTACTTCGGAACTAAATAGAGAAATAAATAAGAGCTGTGACATACTTTGTGCAGTTTTTACCAGTCATTGCAGTTTTGACTTAATTTGTTTCCCTCCCTCTTTGCATCTTGAGTCTTTGAAGGCAAATGAACCATTCGGTGTCATAAAACAAGGAGAACTAGAACAGCCTTCAGTAATAACAAAAAATAACGGAAAAAACAGATCTTTTGCAGGCAACATTTCACATGGCTCAAAACGTCTTTGCCGCAGTTTAAATCCTGCAGCCTTGCGATTGTTCTGACACCTCTTTATTGTTCCTTTTAAGTGCAAATGCCTAGGTAGCATCACTATAAATGAAACAGTAGCGTTCACAGATTGCATTCAACGGCTGTTAGAGCTTCCTCTCCATCTGCACAATTTGCATCTATTATAGGCTCAGGAATATGGCTTTTGTTGCTTCTCAGGGGCCTCAAAAGGGCACAAGATCCCCGCTTCCAGCCCCCCCCCCCCCCAAAAAAAAAAAAGCTGCAGTGAGGTTTGAGGTTGATCTTTAAAGCCCTTCCTAGAGTCAGCGCAGCTATGCTGCGTGCTGAAGGATGGGAGGAAGAGAAGAATGTGGTGCTGAGAACACTTTGAAGAACACCCCTATGATGTGGTGCAATGCAAGTTCACTGAATGACCCCATCTTGTGATGCCCACTACAAACTTTAGGGTGTTTAATTTGAATTACTAATAAAAACGCAGAGCTCTAGTCTGAGACCACAGCAGAGGCATTCACGACTCCTGAGCATGGCTCCGAGGGGGTTTGCACAGTGATTTGAGCAGTACTCTGCTTCTGGGGTGCAAGAAAGAGGTGGGTGAATACATTTCATACCTGTGAATTTCACATTTCTTTCACAGCACCTCAGGGAAAAAGAGTGTATGGAGAACAGACTGTATCATCTCTCTTAATTCCCTATTATCAGTTATGTGCTGAGAATATTTTAAGAAGGGTTTTCTTCGAAAATTAACCACTGTGGCCTGAGCTAAACCCCTGTCAGGTAGCAGGGAAGTGTTTTCATGCAGAGCGAGATAAGATGCAGAAGATGCTCTGTGTTGACTTTCTGACTGCTCAAACCAAAAGGGAAGACAACCACCCTTAACAAATGAAGTATATGAAGTGCAGAAGTTGCTTATTATTTATTTCTGAGAAAATAATATTTTGATTATATGACTGCTCTCCTTGGATAGATAAAGAAAGTTTTGTAGATAAGAACCAGAACCTTTGTTCCTTTCCTGGAAATGTTTGCAATAATTGACAGGTACAGTCCAGAATAGCACATTCCAAAATCTAAAATATTAAAACTGAGTTCTTTAGGGAATAAAATTATGTTATTTATGTTTAGTATTTAGAGTTGGCCTGATTTAGAAAGGATGATCTTTTGGTATGGTACCAGTCATAACCAGGCTAAAGGTGATTGCCTATTGAACATATTTGTATTTTCCTGTACTGTTATAGATAGACAACGGTGTCAACATTACAACATGTGGTGCCACTGATGTTTAGGTAGTACAAACAATCATTGTCTTTTATATCATGAGACTCCAGTATTGCCATATTCACATAAGGTGAAAGCAAAACTACTACTGCTATTATTATTTTCCTTTGTTGTGTTTTTCAGAAATCAGAAGAAAAGCCAAAGCCAGGAGACAGGAATTCATTGTACTAGGCCACCCTGCTGATCAACTAAAACAATATTATCATATGCTTTATCTCCATGACAATGCAATGGGATTATATTATTTTATCTTGTTTTACTATCAAGGCATAATTGTGTACAGCCTCTCCACAGAGCACACAAAGTACCGGGACTGGGAATTTATAAAAAGGATCTAGGTATATAGAAAGACTTTTTCTTCCACTCTGATCAATTGAATGAAAATCTGAAGAATCACTGACACAACATTTTTCATATTCTCATTCTTTTTCTAAATAGAGAATATATTTTGCTTACAGAAGTTAACTAGCATAAATGCAGTTGAAGCCTGCATTATCTGCCCTTTGGATCTCAGGCACCTGCTTAATAAATGAAAAGAATTAGGTAAAATCTCTTCAATGATCATAAGAATCTATGAGCAAATACTCTATTTGTATATCTAGCTTTCATACAGTACAAAGTTATTTCTCTATAAAAACATACTACTTTAAATACTTACCTAAAAACTTGTTTCAAGTGTTTTGCTCCATAGTTAAAAAGATGAGATTTCATCACAAAACCTACCACAATCATGGCAAGGACTAAACTCAGTGATTGCTTCCCTTTCTATTTCAGTGACACTTGTCTATTACTGCCTTAAACACCTTGCACCTTGACTTCAGTGTACCACTGTTGATATGCCATTAAATGTGTTGTTATTATTCTCCTAGAAATTTGAACAGAGACATAGAAATACTAATTCCTAAGCCTTAACCTTCTCAACTAGACAGTGCCTACCCAGAACGCAGATTTCAAGTCGTCTAAACATTCTAGCAATTCATTTTCAGCTACACCATCTTCCTACCTAGCAAAAAATTAATGAAAATTAATTTATAACCTACTTTGATTCTCCAAATAAGCTTACATAAAGATAGGTTTCCTTCTGTTAGCAGAAAACAAAAGTCTTTAGGATGTAGTTACAGCATGATGTTACTAGTATTCAAAGGAAAGTGAGTACTACTATAGCTTGCATGAAGCTATTTAACTTCAGAAAGTCTGCAAAGCCTTGGCACTAAACTCACTTGCTGACCAGTTGTCCATCCCCAGTGGCTTAGAGATTTTCCATTGTTACTCAAGAAGATGATCTAGGTGCAGATATTACAGACGCTAAATCAAGCACAGTATATGGTTTTTTATATGGATGAATTTCATGTTCATATTCCTCTGTATTTCCCACTAAAATTGTATTCGGAACAAGGTAATTAAATTAGACAACTGGTAGAACTCCAGAAGAGATTAGCTCAATCAGACAGAAAAATCCCAATAGCTTCATTGATATTCGCTTGCACCCTTCCAGACAGAGAGGTGAATTCACAATAAACAGATGCAAGCAGGAAGATAACCACTTGGCAAAACCTGGATACAAGAGCACAGTAGCCAGCTAAGTACAATCATCCAAGTAGGAGGGGGAGCACAGAAAATGGTTCATTAGGAACCCCTGCAAGGCTTTTCAGCTTCATGTGGCACCCTTTTCAGCCCCTTGACACCAAACACCAAATGCTACTGGCCTCTCTCTCAAAAGCAGCATTTTTTTTAATTGTCACCGTGGCTGCACAAGCAGTGCCAAGAGTCACCCTTCTCACTTGCCTCATACTTTCCACCACCTGGTGCTGGCAAAGATCCCTTTGGTTGGCAAGGCAGTGGGACTTTATTTTTCCTTGTGGCTCCTTTGTAACGGGTACAATGTGGATCGTTGTATCCTTACGTATAATTAAGTGCTTAAGTGGCAGCATGTCATGCTGCAATGTTCAGATCTGATCCTGGGTCCTGAGCTAGCTTGCAGGCTCAGAGTGCTGACAGGCAGCATTGCATTGAATAACAGCGGTGAAAACTGCCAAAGTTGGAGTTAATTCAGATAGGGGATAAATGCATATGCAGGATATAGAGAAACCTACCTTCATCTCAACTTCATTAGAAATCCTTTGAGGAAAGGAAACAGCAACGAAGAAGAAGCCAAATGAAGTCTGTCACAGTAGGACCTCCAATCCCTCATGGGCTCCTACCAAAGATTAGGTCTCATAGTGCCCAGCTTTAGGTGATGTCCCTGGTGCACTTTCACCTGCAAGAACAAAACCAAAAGAGCACAAAATATGAGAGGATTTAAAATACAAACATTACAAGCATTAACACACATGATAAATTCAACAACATTTAACAACACATGATAAATTCAATTACATTTCTGGCAGAAATTAATCTATATTTATCTAGATAGATCCATCTAAATGGATGGATGTAGGGGATGACTTTGGTTAGTGAACCTTGAGGAACAGCAGAATAGTGTTGCAGGGAGGGAGGGAAGAAGGAGGAAGAGAAAGGTGGCTGAATGAATTCAGGAACTCAGTTTGGTGGCTGAGAGCAGGTGAAAAACTGCTGAATCCCATGTAGCAGCGGAAGATAGTTAATAAAAGAGAAACAAAAACCAAAACCAAACCAATCAATTCTTAATCTTCAACAATTAGTTATTTGAAGAGGGCACTGCTGCCACCTGCTTGTATTATTGATCATGAAAATTAAGGTCGTTCAGTGGAAGGCTGCCACCATCATTAAAACTGAATTTCTTTCTTGTCCATAGGGAAAGTAGTTGCTTTTGGAGACTGAATAAAGACAGGTCTGAATTCTTCCCCTGCAGTTTATTCTTCAGCAAGCATGGATCCAGTGAGAAAGACTGGGTTATTTTGATTTGCACACCATTGCTTCCTTTTATGCTTTTTTTTTTCTTGAAGTGGCATGTGCTCCTTTAAAAGAAGCAGGCTCTCAGTGTGCCGTGGTACCCCATTGTTTTCTAACGTGGTCAGAAGAATACTCCTGAAATACGTTTGGTTACTCTTACCCTTTAATTTCAAAGTGATGGACAACAGTCAGCTACAAATGGGTTTAAAGTGATCTTAGCCAGTGCAAATTTAAACTCCATCACTTGCTGTAAAACAAACCACAGTGAAATCCCTCTCATCATCATCAACTGTGAAATTCTGGTCAAGCCTTACTCAGCTATCCTCACTCAAATTGTTTTTGAATCAACACAGAGAACAGTAGATTCCCAGTTAATGAAAGCAAGCAAATTTCCACTGGATTCAGTGAAGTTACTTCAGGATTTGGCTTTGCAGTCAAACTCTTTTGCAGCTAAACTCATTGTTCCACAGGCTTAACTGAAAGTGCACAGCATCCCCACCCCTACATAATCTTTCAATCCACCTCAGTCTCTTACTTTCTCCTCTACTCACTCCTGGTGTTTGATAACAGTCCCAGACTTATTCTTTGCCAAATGAAGCAGACAAATGTTTAATTACTAATTTTTATTATTTTTTTTAAAAACATGTTTATCTTATCTGTGGTTCTGTCTTAAATAATAAGTTATTTGCATGTGTCTGGGAGCCAATAAGTGTTTTTATTTCTTTCATACATTTCTGATCTGATCAAAAATATTTTATTAGAAGAAATTATTATGTAAGGATTATAGGGGAGGGGAGCATGAAACCAAAGTTATTAATAACCAAGTATTCAAGGAATTCTCCAGCCTAAATTGGCTCCAAGAATTTGAATGTAAGCCGACGTAGAAAAATTTTAGTATTATCAAAGGAGAAAAAAAAGAAAATAACAGCATCACAGCAAAACCCAAACAGATGAATAAAAGCTTATTTTGGAATTCATAGCCAGAGTAGTAAATGAGAAACTAAATCAAGCTCACAGCTAAAATACAGGAGCTCTATTCTTGTATAAGGTGTGAACACTCTGCAGCCTCAAGTAAGAAACTTTTTCAATAGCTGTATCTAACGGATCAGATTGAGATATTGACAGTATCCTATTTACAGAGCTTTGACATCCTCAATGCTAAGTATTGCCATTATTATGGCATGCCTGGGTCTGTGGCATGGCTTTTGAAAGCAAAAGCTGCTAGTTTCAAGCAGAAAAGTAGCATATGTTCAGTTTAAAATTCAAATGTATTTATAACTGAATGCTAATGGCAATGTCATTTATTCACTTAACAATTCTGCAATAGGCTGAATGAGGCAATCTATTTTTTAAAACATTTATGAGTATTGTACAGAGAAATAGGAATTAAAAAGTAGCTGATATTCATCAGGATTTGGAGTGTATCATAAGGTGGTGAATGCTGCCCTCTGGCTCAGGTTGGCAATGGTCACTTATTTAGAAATTGTCTATTTTCAAACTATGGGTGAGACAGGAAAGGTTAAGGTTCAACAGCTTCCCTTAATAATTTGGTCTCTAATAGTTTAATTAAATGTCTAAATGCTTAAAACATGTTAGAAAGAAATTTCCTCAAGGATTAAAGGTTATTTTAAAATTATGTTTTTCAAATATCTGCAACACATAAAAGGAGCTGTTTCTTTTATGTATCTTTATTGTGAATGAGCTATATAAAAGAGTCATGTCAGCATTAAATTTACAGGCCCATAGAGGACTTTTACACTATTTTTTTTTTTAATGATTCAAGAATACAGAGACTTATTTCACTGTATTATTTCACAGTTTTAGGCAAGATTTAATAGTAAAGGAAAGGCACAGTGGTTTTTATCTGTTCATATAGTGGAGGAAAGTTCAGTCTGTTTTAGCAAAAGATAGTGTGATTGAAATATATAGGTCTGCAGCTTAAACATAGCAGCTTTAGAATTTGCTAAAGATTACAGTCACATAAGTCTGCTGTAGGTACACAATTACTTTTTTAAAAACTGTGTGTTAACAGATCTTTAGGAAATAGAACACAATGATTTTACTGAGCTCATTCTCTTAGAAACTGGGGACCATCTTTCCCTTTAGAAGTAGCACCTTACCTTGTACTGCCTGCACCCTTTGCATTAGTTAGAAATAAGAAGTGTCCCTTACTTGAGAAGGGAGAAACAATTCCTGTTACAGAACGTAAATGTTAGGCACTTGTCCCCTATCACCCTCCCCATACCAAGTTTGTCCCACAGGAAGCCCAAAGCCTACCTGCCTTGCTGATCGATTGCCTGGCATGTCAATCCTCAGCAAGGAAGCATTAGACCCGGTGTCCTTCTGAGTGCATGTCTGAGTTATATTTTCCTACTTCCCTCACCTAAAATTCAGTGCTGCTGGTGTGTGTCTGTGTGTAGGAAGCATGGAACAGAAGAGATGGTTACAGGCCACATGCTCAACACAGATACATAGCAAGTAGGATTTCCTCCCTCCTTCTCCCACACCCTTTCTTGCCCCCAGTCTTTTATAACCTCACCTTATATTCAGACCAATAAAATACAACCATGGTAGCATTTTATACCCATCTTGCCCTCATGTGAAGGACTATGTAGGGTTTAGGACAATAGGAAATCCAGCCCCGTGACTAAGTCGTGAAGCTTATCTTTTTAGAATAGAAGCTATAAGAAAGACTGGATGCCTGTCTTTCAAGATGATAAAATGCAGTGTTCTAATACAAGGCAGTATTTCTCCTGGGAATATCTCATTTTGGATAAGAGTGCAGTACTCTTTTCCATTGCTGAAGAGAAAATTTTGTTTATCTTAAGGGAGAAAGTTCAGAGCAGCTTTGGGAACAGCCATCTCAGAATCAAATTGAAAATAGAAAGGATGAATTGATAGGGCTTTTTGTTCATAGATCATACATGCTAACATAACAGTAATTAAAAAAAACAACTTTAGTATATTAAAAGGAAAAGGAAACCCAAAGCAAACTTTCAAAGGAAGGATTTTTAGAAGCTATGAATGTAATACATGGATTCGAAAGACCCAGTGGAATCAGAAAGAAGAGCAAAACACCCTGGGAAACCTCATAATGGGCTCTCAGCTGCACTTAAAAGTGAAATTTACGCTCACAGAATGAGTCCTAAGAATTTTTTCCTATAAAAATGAGAAAAATCAAGACAACTTGAAAATCTTTTAGTTTTTTATGTCAGAGAAAGGCAAATGTTATGCTAATTCTATATCCCTGTAAATAAGGAGATCTAGAAAAGCTTTTAGCATGCAAGATGCCTCTTTTCCTTATTTATTCAGAAACGGATATCAGGTGGAAATTACTGCAAGCAAATCTGAGATTTTCAGCAATAGAAGTGGCTCTTTGGGAAACTTAATTTCCAAGTCTTTAGCCACTAACATGGCTTCTGAGAAGGAAAGCACCTGTTTTGAGAGAAGCCACGTAATTAGAACTGATGGGAAGATAAAAAAATCCTTTTTGTAGTAACACTGTGGTTTTGAAACTTGCTATTGCCCTGCCTTGAGCTCATAAAAAGCCTTTCAAAGGTCTGCAAAAACAAAACAGTATTAAAGTGTTTGCTTTGAGACGTAGTGAAGTTTGCCTATTCTGACCAGAAATTTCACACAAAATTTGGCAGAACATAAAGCTGAACCTAAGTCATAAGTTTTTCAGGCCAGAGCCATAGCCCACAGATGTGTTGGATTTTATGAGATGGCATGTTTTGGCCTACTTTGCAAGTGACAGAGAAGCCATCAGTTCAAGTCTGTCCTCAGTAATGTAGCCAAAAATTCAAGTGAGTGGTGTTGGTATTGCAGGACCTCTGGGATATTTGATCTTGGGAAGATCACTATGTACAGATGGCATTATTCAGCCAAACTGGTTAAAGTTGTCCTAGGGAAAAGCAAGGGGCTGTGGGGGCATTTAGGGACAAGTGTCTCCCCTATCTTCTTCACCTTACCTATAGAAGATGTCTTTCTCAAACCTCTCAAAACATGGTGTTCTTTCCTCCATTTCTCTCCCCTTCATAGATGTTTTCCTCCTGAAATGCACAGGCCTCCTCCCCAGCCCCACCTTCTTTCTCTTCTACAACAGCATCTATTCACTTATTTACATCTCCCCAGTTTCTGAGAAAAGGCATCCACAGGAAAGACGTGAGAAAGAAAGGCTAGGGACTTGTCAAGAGCTTGAGACAACACAAGTTCAGAGTTAAAGTTCCTAACCCCAGTCTGCAGCAAATGGTGAAAATGCTGCTGGGCCTCTTGGGCTTACATCTGAACCCATCCCTACACAATTTTCTTCTCAGGTGGTACAGACAAAGTTAAATCTTTGGAGGACTTTTACTTCTGTATAAAGACTTTCTCCTGTAGGGCCAG